ACGGAAATAAATTCTAATATATGTCACATCAAATGCAAAAGAAAAATGGGTTCTCCAATGTTGATTATTAGAGGCCATTTTCAAAGGGAATCTGCAAAACCTACCAGGGTAGGCATTACCGTCTCCAAATTTTGCTTTAGTGCTTTGGATTTTGTTTTCGATTCTAGCACTATGGACAGCCTTTCCTTTTCATGGTTTACAAGAAAAGTTGAATCCCATTTGGGCAAGCAAACCCCCAAACCATGTCTAAACCAAATCATCGTCTTAAAGCACAAATCTATGGATATCTTTTATGTCGAAACTAAGACATCTTTGGTCCCCATGCTCTTATGATTCCTTTTTACATAGACAGAGCGAGCAGGCGACTCTTACTTGACTTTTTTAATCACACCCGTCAAGGGCTAGTTGGGTGGTCTGGTTGGCTTGATCTTGTCTTTTGCCGATTTTGAACTTGTTCATTGCTTTAGGGACTCGTATTTATTAATACAATTACATCAATTTCATCACTTGCTTCGACAGTAGATGCCCACTGCCCCTTGCTTACATGAAAATTGGTTTACTATTATTGTTTTCCTTTTCAATTAAGCCCATGGTCAAATAATTGCTCTTTCAGCACAAATTTCAAAGATTCCTGGAGTAAAGAAAAAAATAAAGAGTTTGGTTGGATGGACCGTCACCAAAGGAAATGACATTAAAGCTCAAGCATAGTCCACAGACATTGTTATTTAATAAAGATATGACATCACAAAACCCCCTAAGTTAACCATATGGTTTTGAATTGGTAAGAGACATCCTTTCATGAAGAGCCAAGTAAACATTCACTGTACAATACCCAAAGAGTCCTTTTCTACACAATCCAAAGTTTTTTTTGGTCCATTTACCCATTGTTTTTGGTAACCAAAAACTAAATCAATTCAATCCAATTTCTAATGAACTGTCCCGACTAATTTGTTTTTCGATATGATCACTTATATTTGATTTACTGACCGATTAATTCAGATCGAATATTATAAAAATTTATTATGAATGTAATCCTCTCAACTCAATCTGTTTCATTTACAACCCTAAAATTCAAACCCTATCCTTATCTAATAAAATTTTCATCTCATCCCAATGCAACAATTAATAATGGATTGTAATTCAATTGTTTTCAACTTTTTACTGGTTATGGAAAAAATGGAGGCAATCCCCATGCTCCATTACCCAAAAATCTAGAACATTTTGTACATTTGTGATGCAGAAAAGTAGGATCCTCGCTAATAATTTAGGTCAGAACAACTCATTAAATATCCCACCAACTGCCATTGATGTGCTGCAAATATTTGGTCTTCATTGAGATTGGAATCTTGATGAATTTTGATATGGATATGACTTGGAGAAAGAGAGGTACATTATTCAAATCGATCATAATTAACCAAATCCAACCTAATTCTTTTGAATTGTAATTTTTTAACTAATAATACTGATTAGTTTTATTGAATAAATAAATAAATAGAACCAAAGCAGCTTAATTCCGTTTAACTAAGGTTTCAAGTTCAAGTCATTGTATATACATTCCTGCTAGGGTTGATCCGGGTTAATCAAGCCAAATAAAATATTAGAAAATGAAAAGAGAAAACAATATATATATATATATATATATATATCGTCCATTCAATATTTCCATTAACATACAATATTCAATGACTTAATTAGTACCATTTTAATAGTTAAATAACCTAATTGATAAAAATTTTAATTCAATTATCAAAATAAAATTACTCTAAAATTCAGCGTCTGCACATATAATTTACCCTAAAAAATAATGACATTGTTCTGAAGGATTAAAACCAGCTACAAATTGACATGTTTATTAAATTATTATATATATTTTTTATTAAATTAATGTGATTATAAATTATTATATGTTTTAGATATTTTCAGCAATTTAACAATGATATCTAAAAAGTAGAAACAATAAAGATTCATTTAACTATTAAGATAATTTGGTTCATGCAATTATTCTTTTTATTTTCTAAATAACATTTTATTTAGAGTTAATTGCATCACACGTCCTCAAATTATGACAATTATTTTAAATTGGTCCCTAAACTTTTAAATGTTCTAATTTCACTCCTAAACTATGCATATCATTCTAAACAAGTCCTTAAACTTTTAAACATTTTATTTTCATCCCGAAACTATGACACTCATTCTAAATTGGTCTCCAAACTTTTTGAACATTATGATTTCATCTCAAACTATACATATATACTAATCACGTCCCTTGTTAGTAAAATCGTTAGGCCAAGTTATAAACTTATAATATTATATGTTTGAAAAAAGCAAAATTTAGTTTAAACTATGGTTGAAACTAATCACATATTTGGGTGGATTTAGGGATGAAATTTGAACATTCAAAAGTTGATGACCAATTTAGAAAGAGGGTCATAGTTTAGGGATGAAATTAGAATGTTCAAAAGTTTAAGGACTAATTTAGAATCAGAGTCATAGTTTAGGGATGCAATTAGAATATTTAAAAGTTTTGGGATCATTTTAAAACAAGAGTCATAGTTTGGAGACACATGATGCAATTAACTCTTTTATTTATTATATATGACTTTCTTAATACATGTTTTTATTCATTTTCAATTGATTTTTTGGGATATTATATTCTATTTTTTTCAGAAGAAGGGTGTTGAATTTCAGCCGTTAGATTTAATGTATTGAGTTTATTATCAGTTGGTTTTGTGTCAAAATCTTTTTATGATAAACCAACACATCATATCCAATGGCTACCCTTGATTTTCCAATAATAATTATTGTAATTTTATTTATTTTTCCAATATTTAAATCAAATTTATAGTGAAAATTTTAAAGTTTATTTACAATTTTTATATTATTTTTTCACGGAGTTTGTATTTGGACTTTTGCTTTTCACAAAGGGTCACAGCTCCTCCATGACTCATTAGATCTAACCAAAACACTAACCTAAGTATAATTTTCATCGAGTGGGACCAAATCTCATCAATTCTTTCTCATTAAATCGGATGGCTGATAATGAATTTTGACAGTGATCTTCGCGTTGGACGGTGGAGATTACGTTAGCTCTTAAACTTGTAAAGAAATTACTTTAAAAGTCATGAAATGATTAAATTTAAATATATTTAGGAGTAATTATAAATATTTACCTTATTCACTTTTTTTAGCTAACGAATTTAATTTGTATAATTGTACTTTATCAGTGAGTTATGTAATACAATTATGATTAGTAGTAATTGTAATTAGTAATTATACAATAATATTCAAACCCACCTTAAAAATAATTTTGATATATTTTATTGCATAAGTGCATAATTAATATATAGAAATTTTACATGTAAATTAAAAAAATATTATATATTTTTTGATTACAACCACCGATATCCGATCTATTGATCGACATAATAATTATAATTAATAATTATACAATAATATTCAAACCCATCATAAAAATAATTTTGATATATATTATAGCACATCTAATATATAGAAATTTTACATGTAAATTAAAAAATATTATATATATATTTTTGGCATAATCACATGTATCCGGATCGATTAGTCTGGATTGGGTACTACATAGGCAATAACGACCCTCCTAACCCAGTTTGTTCTATTAGCAATCGTTAGGATTTAAACTAGGGGTGTGCAAATCCGGGTACTCGGATTTTACCGGTACCTAATTTTTTTTCATTTTCAAATTATTAAGTTTAAAAAAATATACATAAATTTAAATATTTGAAACTTCGAATTACATACTTCAACATCCGAACATAAAATTTAAAAGTTTAAAATACAAAATCTAATAATCCATAATATAAATAATCCATTATATTATATATATATATATATAATAATAATAATAATAATACTAATAATAATAAACTACTCGGAAAAACATAATTTTGTGACCCGGGCCCGACTCGGGAAATGTCGGGCCGGGTACCCGACCCGGTCGGGTAATTTTCTTAAAAAAATTATCTGGGTTTTTAATGTTCAGGTCGACGGGTCGGATATTTTTACACATCCCTAATTTAAACCCCTAATATTACTTTAAGGATACAATGTCTCATTCCTTTACACTAACTAGTTGTTCGCAAAAATATAATATATTTTAATTTTTAATTATAAGCATTAATGACGAATCCACTAAAGCTTTAGAGCATACACATATTCATTTTAAATTTTATGTGATTAATAATAATAAGTTTTTCTTATCAATTAAAACATCAATAAATTCGTAAATATGATAAATAATAGGGTAATTCTATTTTAGTCACCCAACTATTTTCTATTTTAAAATCATACCTAACAATTAGTTTTAGTTTCATTTGGTCACACACCATTAAACAATTAACAGAACTGTTGATGTTGCATTTTAAAAAAAAATCATTGATAAAGTGATATTATTTTATGGTGACACGTCAGTATCATAATTGTTTAACGACGAGTGAATAAAATGAAACCAAAATAAAGCGATAGTTATGATTTTAAAACAAAAAATAGTTGGACGACCAAAATATAATTAAAGTAATAGTTGGGACACTAAATTTGTAATTTACTCTAAATAATATTAAGGGTTAATTACTAGTGTAGTCACTAAACTAGAAGAGTGATTCTATTTTAACCACTAAACTATAGATTTTATCAATTATGTTACTAAACTATTAAAACAATTTTAATCAAGTCATTGATTATTAACTGTTAACAGAATTGTATAATTATACAAATTTACTTAAATTGCAAGCCACTATTTCTCTTAAAAGTCAATAACTAGTGACTTGATTGAAATGATTTTAACAATTTAATGAGCTAATTGATAAAATTTATAGTTCAATAGTCAACATAGAATTACCCCTATAGTTTAGTGACTATGTAGGCAGTTTACCTTGAAATTAAATAAATGCAAAAGGAAGCTCAACATGTCTTTTCACTTTGTATCATGTTAATGTACATACATCACATACAATACCTACAAACATAAAACACAATTCTCTATTTCTGTCTTTTTCTCTTTACCTTCCATCTTCCTTCCCATTTCAGCTTCTTCTTCTCACAGCCATTTACTAGATTCCTCTCAATTACCCATTTCCTTTATTTCCCCCCTCATTGGATTGTACAAAGTCCCAGCTCAAATACCCATCTCTAAATATTTTACATTCTTCTTGATTTTTTGGGGCTTTTTTGTTGCTTTTTCCCTTAATTATGTTCTATGGGCTGATAAAAAAGATAACAAAACTCTAGCTTTTGCTTTGTTCTGCAAACTAAACTAGCTTTCTGGGTTTTTTGTTGTTGTTGTTGCAGAGAAGCCTTTAATAATCAGTTGAATATGTCATATAGAGCCTGAAGAAACCAATCAAATAAAAAAGTTTTCAGTTTTTAGTCAAAGTTTTTGTCAATACTAGTTTCTTCTTCTTTTTCTCTTGTTTGTAAATTGTATTCTTTAATTTATTTTTCTTCCCTTTAGCCAAAGAGAAAGATATGGGCAAGCAAGGACCTTGCTATCACTGTGGAGTTACAAGTGAGTTCTTGCATCTACGGTTAAACATAAAGTTTTAAGAAAAATGAAAAAAAGGAAGAATTTTGAGACCTTGGGTATAAGTAGCTGTTCAATTTTTTTTTCTCTAAAATTTGTTCTATGTGATTTATATGCTTAGATGGATTATGATTTCCTGGGAATAACAGTGTGAAGAAAAGAACCAGATTACATGGATAATGATAATAACTTTTACAAGTTATGCCGTTCTTTGAGTTTTACTGTTTGTATATGGATTCAGAACAACATGTCCTTTTTTTCTCGATCCATGTAAAGCTTAGAACTTGATTTTCTCAGCTTTTTATCTCTTGGGGTTGGTCTGTTTGACTCTTGTTTAAAATTCCAACATATCTCACAAAGTGAGATTGAGTTCTATTGGATGCTGGGGAATTGCAGAGCCTATGTTGTTGAATTATGGCCGGTTTCGGATTCAACAATAAATCGGTATTGCTTTCCCATTGCTCCATAGATGTTTATAAGCCTAAATATCAAGCCAAACCTCAACGTTCCTCTATTCAATTCATAGAAATGTATTTCCTTGTAGGATCATTGTTTGACTCCTTTATAATTATAGGTGCACTTGTCATTCAGGTCTTGACAGATTTCTTGCTCATTTTCTAGTCTCATAAATAAGCCATTGTTTAAATTGCAATGCTGATGAGCTACTACTCTCATGCTTGTCCTATACAGGCTTTTGGTCTTTGTTGATAAGAATTGTCAACCAATGTGTACCACTTTGCAGAGTTGCAGTCATATCCATTTTAAATCATTGTTTTACACTTTTTTCTGTTATTGGTAGCTTTTGATTTTATTTTGAAGTTCATTGTTTTGCCTCTTAGGCCGTTAAACACTTCACCATGAAAGTATCATTGCAGTTAAACATTCTGAATGACTTCCCGGTGTGAAAATCCATTGCACCATTCTTAAAATTAGAATGGTTTTATATTCGTGGAACATGGTGTTTCTGCACCAATTAGTGCAACTCAAGTTTTTTCATCTGTATTCTTTCCTATGGTCATTGATATGAGTTTTAATTGTGTCATGTACAAGTGTTAATGGAAGCTTTAGTATACTTGTTTGCCTTGGTTGAGGGCTTGAGGCAACAGCATCAACCCTGAATTTGTTTTAGGCTAAATATGTATATTATGTTGACCATAATTTGAAGAAGATTTATCTGATGTTGCATTTATCTTTGACTTTGTCCGACAAAATATAATCCCATTGATGCACTCTTTTTCCTCCCTTCAAGTTTTTCCCCTTTAACATTTCTAATTTTGGCTAATGGTCTTGCCATAATCTTATCACAGTTTTGGTATCTCTGTATCTTTAACTAGTATTATACTTACTATCGACGATGCATTGTGATAGGCACTCCTTTATGGCGCAATGGACCTCCTGAGAAGCCAGTATTGTGCAATGCATGTGGATCGCGGTGGAGGACTAAAGGGACCCTTGCAAACTATACCCCACTTCATTCTCGGGTTGAACCTGATGATTATGAAGATCATAGGAGTTCCAGAATGAAGAGTATATCTATAAATAAGAAAAATGAAATCAAACTGCTGAAAAGAAAACCACATCATGAAACAGCAGTTGTCGCCCCTGATTACAACCAGAGTTTCCGTAGGTTTGTGGAGGAAGATACTAGTAATAGATCGAGTTCTGGATCAGCGATATCTAATTCTGAAAGCTATGCCCAGTTTGGCAGTGCAGATGCAAGTGACTTGACAGGTTGAACACATTGCCATCGGTGTTCCTCATTGCTGTTTTGACTTCTTGAGAGTGATTTGCTTGTTTTAGTCCATCTTGTGAACTTACGAGAGATTCATGAGTGTCGTGCTTGGCATAAACGAAAACTATTGTATATCTTCCTAGAAATATACCCATTACAATTTACATTGTCAGGTTGATCTTGGCTGACACTGATGGCTTCATTGCATGTTTGTACTTTTATAATGGCCTGAAATACATTTAAATCATCTTCGCTTTCATCTTTTTCCAGGGCCTGCTCAATCTAACATGTGGAAATCAATGGTGCCTTCTAAGGAAAGGACCTTCGTAAAGCGTCCTAAGCAATCTTCAGTTGAGAAACTAACCAAAGATTTATATACTATTTTACATGAACAACAGTCTTCATGTTTCTCTGGATCATCTGAGGAGGATTTACTTTTCGAGAGTGAAACACCCATGGTATCTGTTGAGATTGGACACGGAAGCGTTCTAATTAGACATCCTAGCTCAATAGCTCGAGATGAGGAATCTGAAGCTAGCTCACTTTCAGTTGAAAACAAACGATATTCAGTGAACGAGGTTTATTCACATTCTTCAAGTTTCTCTGGATACAATGATAGCAAGGCCGTGAAATTTTCAAGACATGCAATCGAAAAGGCTAAGAATCCAGCTGGACCTGGAATGCAGCATGAGCAATTTAAGAGGTAAATCTTTTTTCCATAATATTTGTCTCCGCAATTTGTCGGGAAGACTTTTTAGAATAGTTTCTTCATTTTGATAAATATTTGCTTTTTTTCTTTTTGACGTTTCGGCAGGGACAAGGCTCAACATGAAAAATCACTAATGCTGGAAAGTCATAAGTCACCACTATGCAACATAGATTTAAATGTAAGTTACCGTCTCATTTTTGTTGTATTTGTTTTTCTTGGAAACAGCTTTATAACTCGATTCTCGAGCTGCTATATTGTTTAAATAAAATCTTTTGAGCCCTGGGAATATGTAAGTTTGCATGCATATAGTGAATGAATGTTTCACAAATCTGGACTCGTGATTCTTCGATCTTAAGCAAAAGGTGGACCGCCATGAAAATTTCACATTACAGCACATATGTTCATTCTCCATTTGTGATTGTATATTTGCGTGGAGCAGGATGTCATCAACTTCGAGGAGTTTGTGAAACATTTAACTAATGAAGAGCAGCAGCTATTGTTGCAGTATCTACCTCCACTTGACGTTGCCAAACTCCACAATAGGTATCTCTTTTACCCCTTTATCAACATGGGGAAATAACACCTTTCTAGTTCATGGTTTGTGCAAAATGGAATGCATTCACTAATAATAATCTTGTTTTTATTTCTATTTCAATAGTATCTGAAGCATATATAGTTGAAATCTGATAATTCCGGAAAAGAAAAAGGAAAAAAAACCAGTAACGTAAGTTTCTAATGGGATGATCACTATTAGAAACATGATGTGGAATCACTGATGGCTGTCCTTGCACCTGCAGCCTCGAAAGCATGTTTGAAAGCCTTCAATTCAAGGATAACCTCTGTTACTTCCAGCTACTGCTTGAGGAAGGCGTTTTTAATATCTCTGTCCCGGGGGTGAAAGCTGAAGATTGTAAGACTTTGAAAAGACTTGCATTATTTAATTTGACGAAATCACAATGGGTGGAACGTCGTCATGCACTTAAGGTTTGAATTCGTTCATGAATTTGTTGTCAATGAACTTACTTTGCTCACTGGATGCCTAAGCATATTTGCATTTACTCAGCTGCCGAGATGTAAAAGTAGTATTAAAGGGCCTGTGGTTGCTAGAGGACCACCTTCCATTACATCGAACAATTCGGTGATTATGAAGAGATCACGTGACTGCCAAAGTCAAAATTTTCCAGGTTAAGTTATTTTCTCCGCTGTTATTAATCGATAGATAATCTTGTGAGCTGTTGTGATTGTTAACATGTTTTCCTTTTTATTTTCAGAAGCATGTTCCTTAAAGTGCCCTAAAATGGTGTTCATGAAGACTACCTATGAAAAAAAAGAAGTCATAGATGACGATGGTTCTTGCTTTAGTCCAAGAAGCCTCTTCGCTTTGCCTTCTGATGGTGATGGCTCTCTTGTGATGGATTCTCTCCATTTTGTCGATGAAAGTTCCGACCAAGACTTGCTTCTGGACGTGCCACCCAACGGTTCATTCCCACAGGCGGAACTGCTTCATCCTACCTTAAATTTCGGGCAACAGGCAAGCACTGGTAGTAGCTCAGCACGCTCACAGCTTGTCAATCCAAATTAAAGGTTGTTAATTACTAGAACTATAAAGGCCTTCTTCTCATGCAAGAGATCTACATATTTTGCGTGTCAAACACCGAATTCTGTGATTTAGGTTTTGAAGGTGCTCTTTTTCGGCCTTTCCGTAACTTCAAATGTTCGGGTGGGTTTCTTTTTTCGTATAGGTCGACAACATAATGTAATATATAGCTAAAGAATGCAGAAGAGATGGTAATCTCTGGAGTTTTCAGATATAGACATTTTATATACCCACTGATCACTTTAGAATGTGAATTATCCATGAAGTCAAGGACAGATTTTAATGTATATGTAGGGATGTTTAAGTGGTAGGCAGGGAAGATTTTGCTTTGGGAATCCGGCTACAAAAGTGGGTACCTATCCTTTGGTATGACTTTTGAGCTAATGAAAATGAACAATGGAGTGCACTAGTCAAATGCTTTGATGTAAATGCATATACTTTAGCACCCAAAAGTAAGCGTCCCTTAATTGATGGGGGAAAAAAAGGGTGAAAACATGTTTTTCACCTGTTTCCTTGGTGTCAAATATTAATCACAAACTGGATGAAGCACGGTTTGGGCCTTGGGGAGACTCATAAACCATAGTTGTTCACCTCATTTGTATGCACAAAATGGTTCTTTATGATCATGACAACAAGAGAATCCCACACCTAATTAGCAGCAAACACATCATGTGAAAGTGGAGAAGAATGGAAAAAGAAAACAAAACTTCATTTGCGAAATACATTTGTGTTAAAATAACTAAAAGTACAATTTATTGAGTTTAATTATGCTACAGAATGTTGTGACAGCATATCCATGATGACTATAACTCCCATTCCCATGGCTCTGTTTGGCTATTGCTCCCCGACAAAGCTCACACAGTTCTCAGCTTCTCTTGTCACCCTTCAACTCGGTTTATACTTCAGCAGTAATCATATTAGAGACGCTCTTCTAAACAGAGAAGAAATCAATATTTATTCCTCTTTTGTCCTCCGCAATTTATTAATCAAACCCAGCAAATCATTTCATTTTCGAGGTACTGATTTCACACAAAATAACAAACACAGCTACATCATGGTACCTATGGATGTCTAGAACATGAAACATGCAATGTAATGAATCATACAATTCAAGGGGAAACATAGTTTTTTACCTGAGCAAATGTAATAATCACAGGTGCAAGTTCTCCTATGGTCAGTTAAGTTGTGCCTTTTGAAGGTCAAACAACACCACGGTCTTCAGTATCCCTTTCATTGTATAATACCTGCAGAATATAATTGGGAAAATGTAAGTTCAGAAATGCATGAAATCTACTAAACTAGTGCAGAACAAATAACAACTTCCAAGTAAAAGAACCTTATCTATGATGCCATATTCATCTGCTTCACTAGGCCTAAAATATTTAAAATTTTAAATTATCAGTAAAATAATATGAAAAATATTTAAATTATATCTAAATTTAAAATTTTCAGGTATACCTTTATGCATGTTAATAAGAGCATATGAACATAGACAGCTAAGAAGACAACTCCAAAACCAAACAAGTAGTGTCGCTCTGCTGTACACGGACAACTCTTACAAGGAAATCAAACTCTAAAACAACGTAAAACCAAATACCCTGCTTCAATTTTCAGGAGAGGCAGCTACCCTGCTTCCTCTCATTGTATCCACCCGACGTTGAAGCTTCTGGTGCCTAGAAAACGCAACCGAAGGAGTTAAGTACGCCGCCACTGTGGATATCACTGTTACCGAATGTATAAGGCCCTTGCAACAGTTAAACCCACGCTTCCCTGCTTCGGGAAGGTAGCCTGCATGGAAGCATAATAAGCGTACAGAACAAGAGATGTAGATGCATAAAGAGCTCCCGAAAATGGGAGGCCTATTATAATAACCAGAATTGTCCACACCGACAGATAACAAGCTAAACCGTTGAGAGTTAAGAAATAGAACAGATTAGAAAGGCTCATTATCATTTCTCCTGCACGGTGTGCCCTTTGCCCTTGCCCGAGGCTGGTGGTACTGATGGCGTTGTTTGCTGGTGGGATATAATCGTCCTGCCAGTACCCACCGGGAGGGCTAAGTCTGGCCTGGTAGCTGGCTGTCGCAATCAGTATAGCCACCACGAGAAGTACGCTACGGATGTCGTGTTTATTTCCGGTGCTGGTTCCGAAATATTTGTCTCGTTTATCAATCAGACTGAGCTCCATGCTGAAATAGTCCCCCAGTGTCATGTTTGAGGTGAGATCAGATGCTTTTTTTGCCTTAGCCTTATGTAGAATCTTACCTAAGATGATTAGCACAATGTGTTAATGAAATAAATCATACCAGAACCCAAAATGAATGTCAATATGTAACAGTACCAATTTCAGGGTTCTGCAATGATACTTGAAGGTGAAATATATCCCTAGCTGTTAAACCATTGACGTTCTTCACGTTCACGTTGACATTCTTGACCAACATCTTCACCACCTTCATGATCAAAACAAAATTTAATTAATTAATTAACAATAATCATGTAGGTGAAATCTTTAGTTTACAGCACATAATTAAAGCTTGCCTCTGTCTGATTAGTAGATATAGCAATATGCAGTGCGGTGTTACCATCCTCATCTTTCCAGTTAAGAACGTCTTCTTTGTTGACTCGTCAAAGCCATCCCACAAGGACTTTGAAACATCTAATCGAGTAGTTTCGAATAGAACCGTGGTGTCTTCAATAGACGAATGACAAACAGATAAAAATTCAGCTAGAAGATCAGGATCTTCAATCTGTGTCAAATAGTGTAAAGGCGTAATCATCCCTTTTGCCTTCACTCGGATAAGCTGAGCGTTGAGTGTGATTAGCCCTCTCACCATTTTGATGCATTGATGCTGCAAAGCAAGATGGATAGGACTGAGCCCCATGTGATTTAGCTTCCAAGCAAGAGAAGGTTTCAAGTTCGCTACTTCCATGGCGAAATGCGGCTTTCCTGCAACGGCGTGCAATGGGGTGTCGACGGTCGGTATATGATCGATACGGTCTAATATTATAGGGATCATCGGCGAGCTTCGTGTATAATGCATCGACGTCTCCGTTTTTGGCCGCCGTTCGCATCTGCTCATCCATTAGGAACCGGTGGGGGAAAGCTTTGACAAAGAAGATAAGGATTGGCAGTGCAGGTGACCACATACAGGGCAATTGGATGTAACGTAATATATAAAATATCGGCATGGTTGGTTGAGTCAACTTCTTATTGTTAATTACTTTTATGTCACAAAATTATTTATTTGTTCATACTTCTCTTTTCCAGAGAAAATGATTTTTTTAAAGAGAATTTTCTGGAATAAAGAAAAATAGAATTTTATTTTTAAGGTTTTTTTTCTTTAATTCCTACTTGTATATAAATAAAAGATTGTACAATAATACATTTTGAAAGTGAATACACACACCATATTGCTAAACTTCATTTATTTTTATATAATTGGTGATATTTGATTTATTAATTAATCCATTCAAATTAGAAAGAAGTGAGTAAAATTTAGTTCGATTTAAAAAAGTGAATTGGTTAATCGATGTTAAAAAATTTGACTCGATTTGTAATTTTATAAACTCGGCTTGATTTAAAAATTTTAAATTAAATTTAAATTATAAAATAAGGTTAACCAACTTAACTAATTCAAAAAATTTGATTCGAATTGATTGGATCGAATACTCATCGCTAAATTAAATAATACAAAAGTTTATTATAAAATAATTAATAGTTTTTTTTCTTTAAAGTGTCATTATCTTTTTAATTTATATATTTTTTAGTTATAATATCAAAAATCTAACTCTAAACCTACTTAAAATATTTAATGTAGTATCTTATAACATCAAATCAACTAATAATTGATCCCAAGTTAATTAGTTCTAGGGTTGGGCACTAGCCGGGGTAGGCCCCTTTTTTGGCCCCACCGATCCCGACCTACAAATTTGTCGTTTATATCCGATCCTGTTCCGTCCTAATAATTTTTAATTTTTCTTTCACCACGATTTTCTAAAATGACTGTCCCTTGATTCTATAGGAAATGTGGTAAAAGAAGTAAGAAAGTAGGTTGTTAACACCAGGTTGAAAGCAGCTTCCGTAGAAGATCTTCGAATTATGAAATGCCTTCCGTGAAACTCGATCCCACGAACTCAAAGCTAAGAACCTTGTGCTCTACCAACTGAACTGGATTTTTTTAACTAAAACCCAAACCCAAATCCCGACTCAATCTGTATATATTAATATTTTAAAATATTTAAAATAATATATTTTATAATAATACCCTGGTGGGCATGGATGAAGAGATTCCATCTACCTGAAGCCGAATTGCTTAATGGTCTGTGAAAACCTATTTGTGTATGTGTTTATATATATATATGATGAATTGTCAAAATATGTACTGTTTACCCATGGTTTGTTTAGCATGGATGAAGAGATTCCGTCTACCTTAAGCCGAATTGCTTAATGGTTTGTGAAAACCTATTTGTTTAACCATGGTTGGTTGTTGCAAGTAATGTGCAGGCCGGGCGGCGATGGTCGGGTTCTTCATGGCGTATCTGGTTGATAGCTTGACTGGGGTAGGTCTGGTTGATCAAATGGGCAACTTCTTTTGCAAAACTCTGTTGTTTGTAGCAGTTTTGGGAGTGCTTTTAATCGGGAAGAATAAGGATTTAGATAACATCAAGAAACTGGTTGAAGAGTCGACATTTTACGACAAGCAATGGCAAGCGGCATGCAGGAAGACGACACCGGTTCCGGTAATAACTAGTTCACTTAAGACTCTCTTTGTTTTTTTAACAGTTCATAGTTTCTTAAGTTCCTAGCAATGTGGTCATCTTGAAATGTTATGAGCATTATTTAAGCATCAATGAAGTGCATTATTTTACCCTTTTGGTTAAGACACTCCAATGAGTGTAAGGCAGCCTAAAGTTCACTAACAAAATTTGTAACCTTAGATGTCTTGCCAAGTCTCTAAATGCTAAAATGATGAGAATTCGGCAGTCCGATCGGCGTTACGTTGTGAATCTAAAGCTTTAGCCATGATTAAGAAAAATGGATTGGAGGGAAAACGGGGAATATAGATTAAAGCCTGTAGAATTTTACAAAATGCAGCAGATAAGAGTTGCAGAGTGAACGGTGAAGAAACAAAATACTAACATCATGCTTCCCAACCCCTCAAAATCGTAGCGCGGGCTACCTGGTTGACTCCTAGGGTGAAGGCTCCCATTCTGAGGTTGCACTTATAAGTATGGCACATTGCTTTAATGCCATCGAAAGCTCTCTTCATGTACCTCTTAAGCTCAACATGCCAGTGAGAACGGAGGGTGAATAACTATGAAATTTCGAGTATTCATCAAGAATCCATGCCATTGTCTGCCCAACATGAGAGATCAACACAGACACACAGGTGCATGTGAATTTCAAATGTGATTGATGACAGAATACATATAGGTAGGTAATAACTGATAGCATCTTATCGGACCAGAAACGGAATACCTGTGAATTAGTTCCCATGTCAGGTGCAGGAACATCTCGATGAGTTCCGATAAGATCATGAATCTTCTGGGCAAAAGCACGAGTAACGCGTTGCAGTTCGCTCACACTCAACTCCCTAGGATTACAACCAATTCCACCCTTTGCTCCTCCGTATGGAATATCTGCTACGGCCGACGGCCGTCTTCCAAGTCATTAACTGAGCCAGTGCGTTCCCCTCATCCGGATCAACCTAGAACCAGAAAAACATGTTCATACATGGTACAGACTGGAATATTCAGAGTAAGACATTACAATCATCACTAATCTCGCTTTCGACCAGTACTCCGTATGAACATGTTTTCTGTTCATTTATATCACTCTGACAAAACTATATTTCAGCCAATTCACTATCAAACATAAGAATGAATCACTTTGAACTACTAATCCGAACTGATAAATCTAATTTGATTCATCCAAAACAGAGTCTAATTACCAAGGAAAAATACAGGTGAAACTCGATCAAGGCATCGATCAGACGACTAAGTCTATGAATATCAGAGGTAGGTGAAAGAGAAGTGAAAATATGTATATGATAACCTCAGGGTGGTAACGGATTCCGCCTTTCATAGGTCCACGAGCATTGTCACGTTGGATTCTAAATCCAATATAAGACACAAAAGAACCATCATCTTTTGGAACTGTGCATTCAACCTGAAAAACATATAGTAAAACACCTCCATAACAAGAACATGGTGAAGCAAAAATTAAATTAAAAAAAATAACAAAACAAAACCAACAAAGCAAAACATACTTTGATTTCTCCGAAGGGTATCAAGTCGGTGCAATGCAATCCAAGTTATAAATGGAAAACCACACGTGGCAGGAACCATTTGGGATGCATCCTGTACTGCATTTATCGTTTACTGAAACTTTTGGATCCTGTCTTGGATAAGTTACGACTTTAACCCCTTTTTTATTTTAAAATATTGGAATTATCATATCCTATATAATATTATAAATAAATTTATAAACTTATAAACTAATTATTTAATTAATAAATAGACTAAAATAAAACTCATAATGCATTAATAACATATATATGAATTATAAAGGATTTAATAACAATTAAACCCTTAAGATTTTAAACTCAAAGAAAGCCTAAAATAGGATATTTAATATAAATGTCAAAACATCACAAATCAGAGTTTCTCGAAGTGAGTTTACAAATACTTTTCAAAAATTATTTTCACTTGATTTAAGATTCTCAAAAATACTAAAAATTAATAAAATTTCAAAAATATCACTGGACGACTCCATAAAATAACATGCAATACCAAACAATCTTACAAATCATTAGATTTAATTATCTTCATTAATCAAATAAGTAAATTGATAAAATCTTAAAATGAGTTTAATTGAATGTTAAATAACCATTTTTTTTAAATTCAAAGTCATAACTTTGAAAATTTTATGAAAAGTTATTGTTAGTCGGGAACTATTATAGTGACAAACATTTAAGTTTAAGAACGATGAGGGATCAACTTATACAATTTATAAAATTTTAGGAGTGAAAACATATTATTAATAAAAAAATATCTAAAAAAAATAAATTCAAATGAGTATTTAAAATTTTCAAGAGTCCGTGTTCCATCCTAAACGTTACACATGGAAGATAACATCATTAATGACACGGAAATGGCAAATACATAGCACATTGTTATTGGCTAGTAGCATTGCCACCTGTTTTTCAAATTTAGATGGAACGATAGTTTAAGTACTAAAATAGGTCAAGAAAAAGTTTAAAGTACCAAAGTGGAAAACGGATATAGTTCAAGGGCATAATTGTCTAAAGAACTTTAAGCGGGAAAAATTGACGCAACGGCTACAAATTATAGTTATGATATAAACCGCCTTTTTCTTGTATAAACCCTAGTCCAGAGTATTGGGCCCAAGGATCTTTCCGGTATAGCAGGCCCTAGTGGTTTTACAATCGACCGAAAATATTAATGATATTGTGAAATAGGGTTAATTTATAAAAATAATTTTTATTTTTATATTTATTTAAATAAATGGCATCACAAACATTTAAGTTTAACCCTCTTTTGATAATTATGTGTCACTTAGGAAGTAAATTTTTAAAAGGTGTATTTTATTATACAAGTATATATTGATGTGGCAGGTTTTTCAAACCAAGTCTCTAACATTGATGTTACTCGAGATAAAAAAAATAAAAGAAATAAGAATAATTATTTAAAAACTAAAAAAAATATGAATTTTATTCAAAATAAAAAGTAATCGCGTGATCAGTGACGGATTCAGAAATATTTTTTTAGAGTGGGGGCACAAATATTAATTATTAAATTTTTTCGAGACCTTAGCTAGAGAAATATGTGCAGTGGTGTAGTTGGACAATAGTGTAATAGTAAGACATATTCAGAGATGTTGTAATTGGAAGGCTGATGAGCTTGTAAAGCTGGGAATTGGGTATAGTTGTTGGCGCACTTTCATGTTTAGGTTTTGGTTGCTTTTAGGAGTCTGAGCAATTTTGTATAATGGGGTAGTTTCTGCTAAGTTAGGGAAATATATTGTTGTGTTTTCTGTAGAAAGTACTGATCATTTATGTGGTGGTGGTTTTATTTGGGCTATATGTGGTTGTATCGAACTCTTGATGTATAGGGTAATTTTAGTAATGAAATTTTGAGGTATTCTTTCTCTCCTTTCAATGTCCGTTGAGCTATTTCGTAGTTTGATGGTTATTAAAGGTATTTTTAATGAGGCCTCTCATTTTTATCAAAAATAAAATAAGTATATAGATTCATTGTCGATTATATTTTCATTTTTATATTTTTATCATGGTTTATTATTTGATATATTATGTGAAAAATAAATATTGTATAAATATAAATATATTTTAGAAAACATTTATCATCATTTTAGTCTGATAATAAAATTAATTTTTACTAATATTTATTCTTAATTATAATTAATTTGTTTTTAATTTAATTTTATTTGACTCAACTATAACTTTAGTCCTATTTCAGTCACCCAACTATTTTTTCTCTCGAAATTGTACCTAATATTATATTTTGATTATGTTTTGATCATGCACCGTTAAAATTTTAATAAAAAATCTTTTGTTATGACAAGTTTTTATTTTTTAATAATAACATGACATTACCTTATGGTGGCACGTCCAAAACACCCTTAATTTTTTAACAGCGGGTTACCAAAATGTAACTTTAAGTATGATTTAAAAAAATACTAATTGAGTGACCAAAACGGAGCACAGTAATAGTTGAGTGACTAAATACATAGTTTACCCTATTTGTAAAGAGTAACTTCTCATGTAACATCACTAGCTTACAAATTTAAAGTTAGAGCTACGTATCATCAAAATCATTAAGCAAGAGACGAAATTTTCTGAAACAAAAACTACAACTCACAACTTCAAACCTAAACGCAAATAAAGTAGAAGGCTTCCATAGCAATTACCAAGCATCATGCATTCTGTGGCGGATCCACCCTTTATCTGGGAATATTCACCTTGAAATCTGAAATTTCTTCGATTAAATATTTGTTTTATTGATTGTTCTCATCTTTAATTTTTATTTGTCTCCAACTCATACAAACTTTTTGTGTTATTAATGCACGTGTGTGTTACTATCCCTAGGATGTTGATGTTTGATTTCCAATCTGCAAACTCCAAAACAAAAATAGAATTTAGAGATTGGCCCTAGAAACACATTTATTAAGGATTTAGTAGTGTAACAGTGTAGTCAAATTCCATAGGGATCAAGTTCTTGATTGATTAGTTTTTAGTGTTTGATTTAATGCAGCATTTTTCCTGTAAATCATCACATTATCAACCCAACTTCGTCTCCACTAAACATATAAAATGCTGAAAGTTTTATTCCTTTCAAACTACAACTCTAAAGTCTTTCAGTTCACCAGCCAATCAGATGCGCCCAATTACTTGTACCTCTGTGAAGCTTAACATATTCCTTCTGATCAATAAACTAGTTAAAGCCCCAAATCTATGCTTAGATAGCCAGTCAAATATAAACTAATTTAAATACAAGTTTCTTTTCAAACTTGTAAGAGAATATTGGTATCATCTGTACAAAAGTTTTGTGTTTGAATTAACAAGATTATCATCTGTGTTTAACTTTTGAAAGCCCAACACACAACCTTGCTTGAAAACCAACTATTCCATGGGAATAACAAATTATCTGGTTCAAGAACATCCACATGGCTCTTGACAGATCACTATTGGGATTTGGGAGTGAAGATATTGGTTAAGTCCCACAAATAAAAAAAGAAAAAAATATATCTAAATAGTAATTCTTTATTAGTATTTTCGCCTTAACGTTTCATTTTAGGATAAAAATGCCACTCTTGGAAGGAAACCATCG